ACTACGAGTAGGCTAAAATTACTCGATGAATACTAACATTTGTAATGACAGTTGCCTATAAATTTATCACAAACCGATTCAAAGCTAATTTCAACTGTCCATTAGCTGTTCAACTATATACTAAATAAATCGTTTACCAGTGCAGCATTGGCAGTATTTTTCTCCTCTTTTCTTACTGTTATTAAGAAAAAACACCTATGAATAATGGAAGCAAAAGTGTGACAAGCAAAACAGAGACTGGTTAAGAGAAAGTCAGAAAAAAAATAAATAAATAAAAATAAAAAAGGAGAAACAAGGACAACAACAGCTGACCTCGAAGATACAGTCAGTGTTCGGTCCAGGATCCCTATGAATACATCCCCTTTTATTCAAATTTTCTTCTAAAAATGCATGCTTTATAAATTAAACAATTTTTTTAGTTCAGCAGTGCAACTGAAAGCAAATCTAACAAAAAAAAATTCTATGAAGATATTACGCTGGAATTTGTGTCTGTTTAAATTATAAAAAATACGCAAAATTGCTGAAATTCTCAACATTTCTTCAACAACGCTTCTCATCCATATAAAATAAAAAAAAAAAAAGAAATGCATTAACCACAAAAACATCGAAAGACGAACCTCTCATGAAGCATACAGGTTTTCCACAAGTTTCATTTTCATGTTCTACTACCCTCCAGTGACCATTTGTTGTCATTACAGCAAAATTACCACTATCTTTCTTTGGCCCGACAAACAGTGAGGCACTGGAATTCAGTCCATCCAACCAAGTAAGACGTGATCCAATTCTTTCAACACCTAACCAAAAGCCATTTTCAGAATGACGAAGCGCATCCGCCGCTGTAAATTATACTCTTTTCAAACATTCAACTTTATTGCCATTACAGTGGAACTAATTTTACTGAAAACTGCTGCAACTGATTTAATTTTTCAAAAAAAAAAAATTGTTTTTTTTCTACAGCGATAAAATGGCTTACATTCTTCGTCGGTTTTGATTGTCGGCAAAATACCACCGTGGTCTTCACAAAAGTCAGCTGCTGTACTGCGATCAACACAGCGTGGTCCCTAGAAAAAAAAACAAAAAAAGACTTTCTAAAGAGTCGCAAGTATTTTTTTTTTCTCCACTTTATGACAAAGTCTATCTGATGTCTAGAAATGTTATTTGTAATTTATTAATTGCTATGTAACATTTGACTATTTAACAAAAAAAAAAAATTTTTTTTTAATTTATTTGGTTTTTCCGCTACAAACATGTCAACATTCCTGCCATCTAAGTTTAGGTTGACTCAGTAACAAAAAAAAAAAAAAA